CAGATGTTTACAAACAGCAGAAGTGGTCCCTATTATAGAGGTACGATACATTCGTATCTACAAATCTTAAATTTATTCTTGACGCTCTGACCAGTCGTTAAATTTGAAAATCAGTTAAATTGTGCCCCAGGACTTTATCAAAAAAGTAATAATTGACCCTTTTTTCTAAACTATTGCCTAAAGTTGTTAATGTATTTATACTCTACATAAATAACTGGCGGTACAGTCTCTATATTAAGTCTAGTGGGATGTATAGAATAACCGCAAGAACTTGGGATAGATCAACCTTTTATTTTATCAGAATCACATTTTGCACCGAACTAACTTTCTTCGTCTGTCTGTGTGTCCTCCTTAGGTTAGGGAGAAATCAGATTCTCCGTGTTTCCTCCCCGCACATTGTCTTACGTCGAAGGTTCCTTTCGCGTTGTGATCGCGTCGCTGCTGCCATTCTATCGGCATGCATTGCCCGATCGAAGTCTTAAGTCTGCGGACATCGCTTTAATTTTCTTCGCCAGTAGTTCTTTGCTTTTAATTGCTATAAATACGTAAATGCTTTTTCATCATTTGCGCAGAGACTGCGGTGCATATGAGCTTTCAGCCCGCTTGCTTTGGTCCATTCATGTTGGCATAATTTGGCATAGGGTCGTTGCAGTTGCCAATGCTTTGTACGTAACCCGCTTAATATGGTCGTCGTAAGTTAATTTCGTATCTAATTGACTCCAAAACATCTTAAATTGGAAGTGAATTGGAACTATATTTTTGTCACCTGAAGTCGTCTTCCACCCGTCACCAGTACGACTTCACTTTTCTCCGAGGTTTAGGGGAGGTTTAGTTTCGACTTATTCCGCACTGTCCGTCTGTCTGTCTTGCGGCCTACAGGTCGCAATTTCACTGGCGAAACTCACATTTTTGTCTTTGCTATCTCGCCATTTGGTTCGAGTCTCTGTTAAGCCCATTGATAATACTGATAAAATAAAGAAATGGTTACAAGATCTAAGTAAATAATAAAATAAAAAACGTAATCCTACCTCATATTATATAAAAACTCCCCAAAATTGAGTGAAATATAAAAAGTCTGTTGTAAAAAAGTTTTAAAGAATTAACACAACTTCAGATTTTTGACACTAAAAATGATCGGAAAACCCTAAAGTCATTACTACAACCCTGATATATTTCTCCGCCGTACGCGTAAGAAGAAGAAATGATAACTGCATTAAGCAAAGTACTGTTCAATATGTAATGGTGGGCCCTGGCCGATTGGGATGCTTTTACTTGTTTTACAAATAAAGTCAGCTTAATCTGTGGGACCTAATAATATTGTTACGAAAATCTCAAATCCTACTGTTAAGGAATACAACTGCAAATCCAAGAACTTTGAAGCGTATTTCTCTTGATCAAAATGTCCATGATCCAGTGATACGGACTGTATCTTACAAAAGCGAATTTTATAACAATATCGATGAAACTTGTCCGTCGTAATAAGTCCTACTTCCTGCCAGAAAAAGACGTCGTCTTTGGGTGCTACTTGCATACAATTTTTATATATTGTTAGGTTAATTTTCCGCGTACATGACAGTGTTTCTATGTATTTCAATAATGCAAATATTTAAAAATTTTCTTTAAACAACGTATCGTTCACAAGAGGTGTTTTTTTTTTTTATTTATTTATTTTATAAGTATTAGAACATGTTTGTGCTTTTTTTCATGGTGCAGTGGTGACGTACGCGCCATTTAGATGTCCATGACTGTGTAAATAAAATTTTTTGCAATGAGCGTTTTTATACACGCCACCGAAGGATGTAAAGTCTATTCATTTTGTTACACCGTCTGCAACGTGCAAAAGGAAGTACCAGGGACCCCATGAGGTATATATATATATTCTTGATCAGCATCAAATTCTGAATCGATTTAAGCATGTCCGTCTGTCCGTCTGTGTAAAATCTGTCTGAAGCTATCGACTTTTGGAAAATTGGAAAATTCTTGCACACAGGTTGATAAGTAAAATCAGCCAAATCAATCAAAAGACACGCGTACAGTATTACGTAAGCTGAGAGCGCCTCCGCTTCCGCTTTTTTGCCCACTACTCACTAACTACAGCAGATAAATTCTTAAAAATTTGGACGTATATGCTATTGGAAATGCTTTAGTATTGCTTATGCCAAAATGGGAATAATTGACCACGCCTATCTAGTATTACAATGTACCAAAGTTTAACTTGATTTCTCAATAGCTGTATAGCGCGTGGAAGCAGACTTCAGACACCACATAACGCCTATAAATTCTTGGTCAGTTTCAAATTCAGAACGCTCCTAAGCAGTCCGTCTGTTCGTCTCTTCATCTGTACATTAGCCAAACTCTGTACTGTCTGTGGAGCACAAGAAGATATCGCCTACAAATTTGCAAAAGAGTTTGAAAATGGCCTAAAGAGATCAACAAAAATGCGTGGAACGTCCACATGTCTACATTGCCAAAACTGAGAACAGCTTTGTTTTTCACGCCTTCCGCTCCGCTTCTTTTTCAATCTTTGTACTATAATTGTGGTGGTTAAAAGTTTCGGGGACAACCGAATATAATTTTCTTACTTAATTTATTAAAGAATAATTTATTTCATATTACCTTGTGGTATATTTCTCAACCAATTCTTTAATATTCGCTTTGAGGAGAACGCTATAAAAATTCATTTGCTCTACAGAACATTCAAAAATTTGTGCTTTGTGGAAGCATATCCTTGATCAAGGAAAAAGTTGTAGTAAAGGGCGTAAAGCGAATATTTCTTCACAATTTTACTAACACGTTAACGAATGCTAAAAAATTCAATCAACTGCATAAATACACAGACAACTCTTTTATATCTACCACGAAAAAATGGGAATATATTCATTTTGTCAAAACACTTGCAACACCTAGAAGAGAACTTCAGAAGCCCCACAAATAGACACAGTGTAGTACACTAGACACATGATAAAAATGTCCACATTTTACAAAAATGGAAAAAGTGAGCCGCGTCCCCGCAAAGAATAAATAAGACAAGATAAGGTGGGGGTGTAAAAGATTCGGTCGCATGCGGATATAATTTTCTTAAGAAGACAAAACTACTTGTTGCTATATCGATCGATTTCGAAATCTGAAATGGGCTTGTCTGTCCGTCATTCCGTTTTGTATTCTTGCAACATTTTGCATATAACGCCTTATTTTGAGAAGCTGTTGTATGGCCATTAGGCGAAATCGTGTAGAATAAATAACCGTTAGATTTATGTGCAAATACTTGATACATCAGTTCTTCATTCATGTTATCGCAAATGAATGCCATAGCATTCACGTTCGCCAAAAGTGTTAAATTATACCTCCCCACAATTTAAAATACGTCTAAGCATCGGAGGAGGTAAGGATCGCGACTACTAAGTCAGTGTTCGCGGATTCAAGTCTCAGTGCGCTAGAGTTTGGTTGCAAGAGTACGTTGGTTGCACCTGTAAAGGGTGCTTAACCGGTAAATATATGACGCATACCGAATAATATATGAATGAATACATGAATATGTGCTCCATTCGCTAAATCATTTCAAAATCTCAGTTCATTTCAAAACAGTACACCCACCGACACTAACGTATTTAGAGCGTAAGCTTCTTGTAGTTACAGTTGCAATTGTATCTGCTATTGATTCTTATATATTCTTATATGTCACACGATAATAATGCTTGAAGCAGATTATGGCTCATGGGCAAATGACGAGACACAAACCGTAACAAATCCCAAATTGACGTCTTGACGATTGATGCAAGATAATGTATTGTGTTTGATGGAACTGCAAAAGAATTGTGAGTCAGGATCTGCTCCACAATGTAATGAGTGAATGAGTGAATTCCATTCACTCAATCAAGGCGATTAAAGTCAACAAATAAGGTGCAGAGTACGGATGCGATCAATGGGAAAAGCGTTACCTTCTATCTTCACAACATATTTAATAGCTCGGAAATAATAAAGTGGGTTGACTGGGAAAGTTTTAAAAAATCTTAGTTATTATAAGTGTTTCTTCACATAACACACGATTTCAAAATAAATGCTGCTTGAAGTTTTATTTGTTACTGTTGTGTTTGCTCGTAATAATATCCATCAATCTGTGTCCGTCTTTGCATTTTGCATACCCTTTTACACTAAGAATATGCTGATACCGGAATTTTGCACTTGTGTTTATATTGGTGTTACATATAAGGGTATTAGTTGACAGTGGCGCATTTATACTGATTCAGCATAGCTGTACCGTTTTTAAGTTTTGCGGGTTGCGTCGGAGTAGTTTGTTGCTACAATCCATCGCATAGCCCGTCCGACTACTTTCATTTCGCTCTCTGTACAAGTCTCTTAGCGATGTACGGTTGGCTTCAAAACAGTCTTGTGAAAATCACTTGATTCAGTTTTTCACCAAAAATCGCCAAAGTTACATAGTGCATAGTGCATAGTTGCATAAAAATAGGTAAAGATTTTCAATCAAAGTGATACGTGTTTGTGACTTAAAGTTGATCTAAAGAAAGGGAGAGAGAGAGAAAGAGAGAGTAATGGCAAAAAAGCCCAAAAAACTTTTTGCTTTCGTCTTTGACAACCAACTTGATCTTCTGAAACCATTTAATCAAGCCTTTCTGATTGTCACTCCTTCTATTATAGATTGCTAGGATCTCGCATCCTCCTGCCGAACCGAATATAGCTTTCGTACGCTCTTGGTAGTCTTGGATTTTAGACAAATCTTATGAGGGCCCAAAAAAATTTTGGAGCGATAGTCTCTTAATGGACTATTAATACAAATGAAGTAAAAAATGTTGATCGTATTTGAGGTTATGGTAGTTTTAAGAGCCAAGAATTTCTTAATTTTCAATCCGATTAAAGTTTCGGCTAAACTCTTCATATTAATTTTAATCTTCTGTTTTTTTTTTTTTTTTTTTTTTATTATTTATTTAATTTCTTTTTTGCATAAAATTCAAAACATAAAAAATGTGATATCAAATTATATATGGAGCTGATAAAATTAATTTTTTTAGCTCAAATTAGTTTTTGCATATATCAACGCTCATGTTCCGTCGTAAGCTGACATTGACAGAGATTTTTGATCTTAAAAGTATTCTGAAAATGTAGAAACATAAAAACAAAATATTTACCTATGTATTAAGTGAAAATTTAAAGTGAAAATTAAAGTGAAAATCTAAAGAAATCAGCGAATTTCTTCAAAGCTTACCATTTTTCTGTATCTTATAGTTGTTACTGTCCTTACCCACGTAGATATTAACATCGGGTGTTTCTTTTTGAGCATTATCGCGCATAAAACCTTTCATATTGGTCTTGTAATGCAAACCAACGCTACAATTAATTGACAAAATTCACCCATTAGAATGCGGTGATGTGAAGTAAAAAACGCAAAAAGAAGGAAACCTACATTCTTAATGAATTAATGTCACTAGTACTTCTCTCCTTATCCAATGATTTGACTCGTAAATATTTATGTTTAACATCTACACCGGAAGTGAATTCCTATAGTAAAGCCATAGGCATCAAATAATTTAAAATGGTAACTCCCTGTATAAGGCACATTACTTACGTCCCGCATAACGTAAGTGATTTCCAAATTATTAACAAAACTGTCGAAAAATTCCGGATATAAATGTAAAACGTCCAACAGATCGTCACGATGAATTTTATGCAAATCGCAATAAGTTAAGGCACGAACGTTCGCATTCGATTTACCTATGGTTGGATAAATGCAAGGATTTTCACCGAATATATCATCTTTTCCTAAGAGATAATGATATACATAATGAATGATCGGCAATTCAATCAATCGAATCGCTTACCGAGTATAACTATTACGATATTATCCTTTTGTATTTCAATGGAACCGCGCGCGATAAAAAATAAAGAGGTCAGTACATCGCCTTTATGTACCAAAATGTCGCCGGGCGGTGCGTGAGTAGTTTTAAATTTTAACGACAAGGCCCTAAAAGGCAAAGAGAAGAAAAAAGAAAGCAAATAAAAACGATATCTGTTGCGAGTACGCTTTGTCACTTTGATTAGAATGAGAAAAGAAGAGCACAAAACCTTAAGCATCCTGGACTAGCTTCTGAAAATGCCGGACATGTTGTTAATAGTTTACGATTGAGGTGTAAACATATGTCTGCTTGAAGGCATTCGGGAAAACCTTTCAATACCGAATTCATATCTATGCCGTTCGTATAGGTCCAAGCATGTTGAAAATACTCCTCTAAACGTTGTCTCAAAGGATTGGGTATCTTTTAGTTACAAATAATAACAATAACAATAACAATCAATTAATAAGGGAACGTTTTAAGGAGCTTTTCGACACACCAACCTGATGAAATCTTATGAATTCTCGTACCCTTAACATTTGCGTATGATAACGTGCTGTACCCGAATACAAACGTTGTATTATGGCAGATACATTACCAAAGATACTGGCATACATTAAAGCTAAAAACAGGGTTTAGATAAATAAGAAATCACAAGGCGGTTTTCATTTAACAACTTGGACCTGTTTTTTTTTTTTTTTTTTTTTTTTTTTTTTTTTTTGTTAAATTTTTTTTTTCAATTTCGACTTACATCCAACCAACATGACACAGATAGTAAAAATCTTTTCAGCATCGGTATTCGGGGCCACATTACCGAAGCCAACCGAAGTTAACGAAGTAAAAGTAAAATATAAAGCTGTTATATATCGCGACTAATGGGAAAATCCATAAAAAAGGAAATATTTTAATAACATTTTATTAAACTCAAAAAAAAAATAGAAGATTTTCTTGTTTAATTCTTTTTTTTTTTTTTTTTTTTTTTACCTTAATCGAAGGTCCACCTGTTTTATTTTCAAAATACGGCTCTTCAATATCATTGCCAAGGGTATGAAGCCACCCAATATTTTTCGTTAACATAATGCGTTCAGCATTACCAATAGCATACCTGAGTACATAAGTATCATTTCCTTTAAGACTCACTCCTTTTGTAAACCTAACCTAATAAATCTTTATCTTCATCTTACCATATGCAAGCCAACCAATGGGCGATTAGCACAAATGTGGCCATTAATAGAACTAAAACGGCAGCACCATATTCCGAATAACGATCAATTTTCCGAGCCACTCTCACTAAACGCAATAGACGAGCCGTCTTCAACAACCCAATCAATGTCGTGGTCTAAAAGTGTATAATAAACGATTATAAACGGCTTTCCTTCAATCAGATGCGTAATAATTGGAAAAGTATATTTAAATATACAGGGATTAATTAATTGATAATGAGTTTTAAAAAAAAGTGTAAAGCTCTGGCATTCATTCACACACTCCGCGCAGGTTTTGTATAAATTTTGTAATTACTTTATAAAAGACTTTTTATAAAAGACTTATCTAAAAAATTACTAAAAAAAAAAACAAAAACCAAAACCAGTAAATAAATATATTAAAGGAAATGATGAACAAGAAAATTATCAAATCTAATTATACAAAACGGAAAAATCTATTAATTAGTTGGGCAACAATCATTTAATCATCTACACCGCGATTCCCGATTCGCAATTCGCGATACGTGAATCTACGCCTTTTTCTTCTTAAATCTAGAGAACAAGTTTGTTATTGCTTAGCAATCGCGTAGAGGCCGTAATTGATTGATGGTCGCAGAAGTACCCCAAATAACAGGCAGACAGACAGACAGACAGACAGACAGACAGACGGGCGTAGTAAAGCCAAGCATGTCTGATTGATATTTTAATGGCTTAACATTATTCATTGTTCCTTTTGGTAAGTAATATATGGCTTTTGTACCGTCTGCCATCTTTTAAGGCACAAATGAAAATTTCGAAATCAACATTTTGAGTTTTTCACTGCCGATTCGTTAGCGTGCAAGTAGTCGTCATTTAAACAATATTATTTTTATACCCTACGCCACTTTTGGCAGAAGGGCATATTAAGAATTATGCGGATGTATGCAAGACACGCAAGGACTTGCGATAAATCCGTCTCTTGTCATCGTGATAGATGAGAAAACACTGCCTGAATCGATTTAGCCTTGTCTATCCTTCTGTCCGTCCTCTAATCTTCTTTTCTTGCGCCTAATGCGGTAATTCCCATACTTTTAACGAAAATCACCAAAAATCGTACCGCGTTGACATGCAAATGCTTACAATTCAGAGAAAATCTTGGACGGGAGCAGTTACTCAGTCTAACGTTGTACCGTTCTTCATATTTTGCAAACTGACATTTCGTTTGTCATGGATCCTTCTATCATTCATCTGTTTTCGGCGTTGATTACAAAGAATTACATCGTCTGGCTATACGAAGGCTTGGTTTTCCTTGTACGAGTTGTAGTGCAAAAAATATGTACCTCAAATTTGACACAGGTGAGTATACGCTACACCACTTGTGATACAGGGGTACATTAAGTTTGTGCGAATCCATGCAGCACCCAGAAGGGCCTGAAATAGACGCACTTTTTATCGTAGCGATCGATTCAGAATCCCTTTCTGATCCAGAATTGTCCCTGCCCTCTGTCCGTCCATCTGTCGTGTGTCATTTTGTACAGACTATAGGCAGTCATTTTTGAAATGCATTGAGGAAATTTGACATGCCGACGTGTTCTGGCCCAAGGACGAGCGCTATTGAAAATAGTTCGGATGGAATCACTTCCACGACTACTTCCCATATAAAGCCTTATTTTGAAAAGCCGTCATATGGTTGGGTATTTAATGGTGAGCTGTAAGCCATTGTAGCGGGTTTACTTAATTATTATTGCTTTTCTCTTCCGCCCATTTTAATAGTACCATTGACATCCAAAGTAAGGTTGAGGTTCCCATATTCGATACATCGGTCGTATATTGTATTGGCTTGGGTTCGCAATTTTTTTGACTGCCTCGAAAGGTACAGAGGTCACGTTGGAGTTTTCAAAATTACCAACTTGTCCCGGACTTTCGAATTTATTTACCGAAGCAATGCGAGAAGGCGCATGATGTCGATCAAGAGAAGTAAGAGCTTTGCAAACCGGTTTCGCATTATTTTCATAAATTCCGTAGCGAATTTTCGTTATTCCAGTAAGTTATACGGATGGATATCGACCCATATGTGAAAATCTCACAATTTCTTTCTAGTCAAGTGTTGTCGCAACGATCGCTGTATGTTCACAATTAGGAATTGCTGCGAAATCGTTTGGTGAAACACTCTGCGGATGTATGATGTTAATTTTACGCGATCTGGGAGCCGTTTGTCTAAACAAAAAAGTCATTTCTTCATGTTTTATCTTATTTGTGCATGAATTTTTGATTTTTGCGGTCCACACTTTAAACTGATCTTGCTGACGTTCAAAGTAATTGGACAACAATGATAGGAAAAAAAGTTGAGAACAAGTTCATACTTTCTTAAGGTTGCTTTCAACACGCGGTCAGACAGCCAAAGAGATGCATACGGCTAGCTAGACGACAAGAACCCAACGCGTAGGCCATGTCTGGGTCACATTCAGCTCAAAAAAGAGAGATCAAGTATTCAGAAAAAAAGAGTACTGTCCTTCTTTAAGCAGTACCTTTGGTCGCAACAATTACAGGCATTTATGGAAATCCAAGTGAAATGCTTGCACAACCTTTCGATGTGCAAGATGGCGGGCGATGGTGTAGATTGTATTTAAATGAATGCATGCTGTTGTTTAATGAAGAAGGAACAAAAAAAAAAAAAGATGTGTTTTATTTATATTATATATACGTATATATGGATTGAACTTTCTCATCAACTTAAAGTAGTAAATAACTTAGTAAAAAGCAGCGATATTTAAAAAATGGTTTTATAAAAAATTCATAATTTAATTAAACAGAATAAAGAAGAAAAAAAAAAAACAAGAAATTTGATGAATTTTTTTTCACAAATTTGTCTTCAAATTTACTTAAAACGAGTCTAAAACTTTTCATGACATGTTCAATACAATAACGTCACTTTTTTATTATTAAGCTAAAACCTTTTTTTTGTTTGTTTTTTACTTTTCAATTCAGAGCCAAAAGCCAATAGTAATATATAAAAATGCTTGAAAAATCGTTTAAAAAAAAAAAAACGAACAATTGGCCAAGATTAAAGGAATTAATTTGATGTCGGAAAAAAAGTTCAAGAGATTTGTCATTTTTTCTTTTTTTTTTTGCAGGTTGATTTAATTTGTTAGTTTTAAGTGGGAAAGAGAAAAGCTTATTAAAAAAGGACAGAATGAATGTTGCATTCAAGGCGAATAAACTGAGGCCTATATTTATATAAAATAATATGTAGTTAAAGCATTTCTGTGTCTTTGTGGTTAATATATTTGTCTATTACATATATATGTACATATCAATATCAATAAAATGCTATCAAACTAAAAAAAAAAGAAGAAAACAATAGGTGTTTTAATAAGTGCGACAATAAGGTTATAAAAAAATTTGTTTCATGTTTACATCCTTCTTTCTTATCGTCTTGTAAATGTACATTCAGGAATGGATGGTCGTATGGAAACGCTTTCGCGAACGTTTCGTTGCACAGTTAGGTCTCTTTTTTAATGCAAATGCGCCTAAGCTAGCAAAGACGCTTAAACAAGATTTTCAAGTCTCTTTTTACGCGACATCTGCTTAGATTAAAAAAAAACGCATAAACAAATTTTCCAAGTCTCTTTTTACGCGACATCTGCTTAGATTAAAAAAACGCATAAACAAATTTTCCAAGTCTCTTTTTACGCGACATTTGCATAAATTAAAAAAAAACGCTTAAACAAATTTTCCAAGTCTCTTTTTACGCGACATTTGCATAAATTAAAAAAAAACGCTTAAACAAAATTTACAAGTCTCTTTTTACGCGACATCTGCTTAGATTAAAAAAAAACGCATAAACAAATTTTCCAAGTCTCTTTTTACGCGACGTTTGCATAAATTAGAAAAAACGCTTAAACAAATTTTTCAAGTCTCTTTTTACGCGACATCTGCTTAAGTTAAAAAAAAACGCTTAAACAAGATTTTCAAGTCTCTTTTTACGCGACATCTGCTTAAATTAGAAAAAACGCTTAAACAAGGTCAACTCTTCATTATTGTCATCTCTTTATGTGTCTTATAAACGATTCGAAAATCTTGCATTGCTTTTCATTCGCCTTTCATGGACATAGAATTGCAATCAAATTGCATCTTGAGCCAAGAATTTCAGAAGTTCTCGACTTTATTATCCAACAAGCAGAACCTAACCATAAATATCTCCTAAATAAATATTAACTTTAAGCGCTCATTCATTCTTTTCCGGTTAATGCATTACAGTGTAACTTGAACAATTCCACTTCTCACTTCTTTTAGGGAATTCCCATGTCTATAGAAAACTGCGCGTAAATAGTGCTTATAATTACTCGTAAGAAAAGAATGCTTGAATTTGGAAAAGTTATTCTTGTTTAATTTTGGCGTTTCTTGGTTTTAGTTAATTCATCGCAAATTGTAAAAAAGGGGTCACTTAAAAAGAGACCTTACTGTACTTTGTATATGTAGATGCATACGTTGTATGCCTGGTGTTTACAAAAAGCTCTTATCCATATTGTCAATGTTATTAAAAATAAATTTTATCCTTTAAGGGATTAACTTGATATTATCCTCTACGCTCACATCTCACTCGTTCTTAATGAGTTCGTATACACACACACACATTTTAAATAATTTTATAGAAATTAAATTTTAACTTGAGTCAGTCAGTTAGTTTCCAACCGGTGGTTTTCCATACACACTATAGCGTGTATTGTGTGATGATTATTAATTGAAGGCAGATAGATATAAGGTTTGGGTGTGTGTGTGTGTGTGTGTGTGTGTGTGTGTGTGTGTGTGTGTGTG